TTTCCTTTTTAAATTTGACTGGAAAAAACAGGGTCCTATTTGTAGGGCCCTATAAAATCTGTTTTATTTTTTCCCAAATTCCGTTTTAATTTTTGAAAATTAATTTTTTTCCATTTTAATTTTTGCGAATTCAGTTTTTTTTACCCTTTACTGTTATTTCAGTTGTAAAAAGAATGTGCTTTTAATGTTAATGATTAAAATGTACACAATAAAATAGGAATGACCTTAAGTTTATTGAGGTAAAAAAAACACATTTACTCAGTACTTTTACTGCATGATGCAACATAACACTGCACTCTAAGTACTAACAAAATATTAATGGTTATGAACCAATGGTTATAAATAAAAGAGCTTCATTAGCTTTTTCGAGAAAAAGAAAATAGGATCTCTTAATTTCAGAATTATAAAGTATTTCATAAAGAACCATATTTTCCATACAGTACATTAAAGTGCATAAAAAACAAGGCAAAATACAGCAAGTACGTAAGCAAGTTTTTCTCAACTTTTTCGCCGAAAGCGGAGCTGTGGAGAGCCGCTTCGCCATTTTTTCAATGTTTTGATGGAGAAGGTGAGCGGAAATGACGGAGCGGGAGGGGTTGTGTCGCCCAGATTTGCGTCCCCTGGTGTGCATTTCCCGCCGACGTATGTTCTTCTCCCACACAAAAACAGAATTTCATATCAAATGTAGAAATTCCGCGTTTACACTAGATTCCGCGTTAATCTGCCAATTCCGCGATTCCGTGATCGCAGAAATTATAGGGCCCTAAATAACAAAACAAAAAACTGTAAAACAGACATAGAAATCTGCTCTACAGTCCAACCATTTACCCGACCAAATCACCGACCTTTAACCCATAGGTAGAGTTGTTAACAGTGAGGTGAGTCTGCTTTCTTTCCATACCATATAGACTGAATCAACCAGCCAATCATGATGCTGCGTCAAGCGACTTAAAGGGAAATGCATCATATTCCCCCTTCTTAATATTCCACGGATTCTTATGGACCTTTTCTGGAGAACAGAACAAACAGAATCCATGTAGAGCATGACTTTAAATAAAGGTCATTGTCTACTCCTGCTGGATTTTTTCCTCAGGATGCCGTTAGTTATTTGAAGAAACTCAGTAACAACAGTAAGCCTTTCAACTGAAGAATTGCGGCCTTATACATATCATTTTTTTGACCTATAGAAAGGAAGTTGGTTTATTTACCAGTAGAGATAAAGGAAATGCTTGTCTGTTTATTATGTGTAAATATTTGGTTTTAGCCTTAAAATTAAAGTGAGATTATTCAGCTGTTGGTTATAAACTCAGAGTATGAAAACCTTTATATCCAGAATATTTCTTTAAAGTTGGGAGAATCAGATTGGCTGCCTCAGTCTGCTCCATGTTTGCTGACCTAAAGGGGTAAAATGTCAGCGGCGAACAGGGATCAGGCAGCTGTTTGCTTTGGAGCAAACTGCTCCGAGCCGCGTTACATAACCTGGACCCTGGGTTCACTGCAGAGAAAATAATTCTAGATTTCAGGCTAAATAAGTTGTTGCAGAAGCATCCTTACCGTCCCCTGTAGAGGTATCCACTCATGTTTCAGCTGAACGCCCCCACAGGACTGCAGACCCTCCCCACTGATCCCAGCCCTCAGAGAGCAGCCGACCCTCTTCAAGAATCTCCTCAGGAGGACAGAAGTCTTCAGTCTCTCCTCTACTGATTCCTGCTAACGTCCCATCTGCTTCGAATGGAACGGGACGGCGACTCCTGACCAGGACCAGGGTGACCACAGGCTCCCAGAGGAGCGAGCTGGGCGCCCAGGCAGAGGCTCCCTCTGACGTGGCAGGCAGAGCAGCAGGGAGAGGAGGTGGACGGCACCGGGGAGCAAAGGTACAGAGACTGCCTGGTTCAGCATGAAAGAGCGATCTGTTGGAGCACGCTGCCAGACAGCCGCCTCACTGGGAGAGTGTGTGTCAACATGTGCACAAACCACACTAACGTCTTTCCACCAAAACAGACACTGAAGAGACAGTCAAAGTATTTGCCTGTGGTTCATTTCAATGCAGGGTGGAGATCCCCCCCCCCACAGCATGCACCTATATGACTAACCCCCCACCCCCCACAGGTGTGTAAGCGACCTGTCTGAGCAGGTAAACCCAGGAATGCCTCTAATCTCCTCTGAGCTGTTTCATGTTTTCTTTCGCTGCCAGTCATGCAGGAGGACAAAAACTCAAACATAGTTCATTGTCCTCATCCTGGACAAGCGGTCCAGAGCAGCTGTTCCTACTGGGTTCAAACCGTCAGGATCAAAGACTGCTCTGGATCAACGCTCATGGAAAATCCTCCTCAGAGCTTCCACAAACAGGAAGGCGTGGCTCCCCACATCTGAGCCGTGGGTTTACCTGGAAAACTGCTCACATAACAGAACCCTCAAAGCAAAGAACACATGATGCTGCATTTTATGCATGCATGACTCAGCGAATATACATCAAACCATCAATACTCACTGGGGAGCTGCAGCTGCTCCTCACTTTTCCTTTGTTTGCAGGAAACCGTTTTAGTTCGAGAAAGATCCCAGAACCTCCAGTAAACCAGACTGGGTCCAGATCTTTCCTCGGAAACTGATTGGATTCTCTATCAGGGTGGGATTTACACCAAGATCACCTCCATCGAGATCACAATGAATCCTATCAGCTCACAGGAAGAGAATCGAACAGAAACTCAGAACCAGAGCGACCCACGGGGGGATGATCAGTTCTATATCCATCATTAGAGACATGGTCCAATAACTTGACCTGTTTGGTTCTTCATCATTTTATCCCACTTCCTGTTCAGCTTCTAGAATAATGTAGATAATAAAAGGAAAAAACAAATTCTTTCTATATTTTTGAAGGGAATATAAGCTTTACCATTCGGGTGATTATTAACCCAAATGAACTTGAATTGTTCAGCTTTTTTTTTTTATTCATTTGAAATTAAATATTAATGTTTTCTAACAAGTTGTAGGTTACAACAAAAAATTGTACATTCTTCACACTAAACACATTAATAACTAAATAAACAATGAAAAATGTGAAGAATTAGATGTGTAAATATAGTTTTGGACCAGGTAGGGATCTGTAGAGAAAAGATCACAGCTGGGACTGAAGTTAGCATCTGATTCAAAGTCTCCAGCTCAACGGTTCCATCATGGAGCTGCTTTATCCAGCCGCCTATGCAAGCATATGCTAACTTAGGAACAGCAGGAGCTACTAGCTAGCGTTAAGCTAACCCGAAAACTGAAAAGAAATCTGTTAAAAATGTTCGTAATAAACCTCAGAAACTTTACTGGAACAAACTTAGAACGTCTAACAGGTTAACAATTCTCCTCTTACTCTGGGTCAGCTGAGAGTGATGCAGCAACATGGCGGCAGGTGGGCGGAGGCGGGAAGGTTACTGGAGCCATCGGTGCAGCGGCTTCACAGATGGTACGGTCCAGTTTGGGGGGGCTAGAAATCCTTATTAAAGAGTCATACCCACTTATTTATGTTCTACCTATTTTAAATCCAAGCATTTTTATATAAAAACGGTTTATATACCAGAATTTTATCTCATATATGTTTTATTGGAATTCAAGCACACACTATTCCTTAATAACAACTTTTTAAGCTTGTATTAAACATCCATCCATGTGTAACCATACTCATTTTATTATCGACCAGAGTGCAGGTGAATACAGGGAAGATGTGGATGATTCATCACTATAACATTAGGTTAATATATTTATTAATATTAGGATTAATATTAGGTTTAACTGTTAGTTTAATATATCATCAAACTTCTGAAATGTAAATGTAAATTTTTTTCTTACATAATTACAATGCAAAACCTTTTTTACCTACAGAGCTGATAAACTACAATAGAGAAAAAATGAAATTAAAACTTAAATATTTTGTCGATTTTTTAAATATAAAAAAAAAATATATCAAACTACCACAACTATTGGCTTTATAATAAAACAGCAGCAGTGCATAGAGTGAATCTGGAATTAAAGTATGGATCCAATACTGGTACCAGCTTGGTGTCGATAGATTAGATATTTTGGATCAATCTACCTAAGGTGAGGTACACCCTGACCCAGCCAATCACAGAGCAACACACATACAGCAACCATGAACACACACACCCACACAGAGAGATGCATATCGTCCTAACAATCCTGTTATTAGACAGCAGGAGAACCCAGAGAGAACCCACACATGCACTGGGAGAACAAGCTAACCCCATTCACAAAGACCCAATGTAGCATTTGGAGGTTGCTGCAAAGCAGCAGTGCTACAAACAAATCCACCATCAGCACAGGATACTAAAAAATGTGTTTTTATCAAACTAATGTGATATTCAAATCCTAAATATCACGTTTACTTTAACTGTAGGTAGAAATTATTAGAATGAACAGAAAAAGAGGCTTAAAAACATTTGTTTGTGTTTCACTAATCTATACATACTGATTCTGACCACTGCAAGCAACATCAGGCTCTGTAACAAAAACAATCCTCACCACTAGGATCAAACTGACCTTTTAAAACTGTATGTTGCTAAATTTAAAGGCTGGTAGTCTTGTTTCATTTAAAAATATTGAAACTGCCCGAAAAACAAAACTTAGAAATTCAATATTTTCAGAATGTATCTGTGATTTATAATGCAACTTGAGAAACAGGAAACACTATGGGAAGTGCTGTCAAGTTATTTTCAAAGAAATGACCTGAACTGTGCAGAAATCAATAGATAACTAAATGTTAAGGATGAATGTTCCTTCTGTGTTCCTCCTAGAGCTCCAGAGACACTCAGCAGCCGGAGCTGGATGTGAAGAAGTCAAACCTGTAAACACATTCCAGATTCAGCACCACATGTTCAGTCCGTATCGCACGGGGCCGTATCCCCCGCCTGCCTCTGGAGCGACTCACATACCTGCTCCACATTCCTCACATGCAGCCGCCTCACTGAGGAATGACCAGTGGGACAGAAGGAGCTCAGTCTGCAGCTCTGACCAAGCCAGCAGAAACATCAGGCGTCCCGTTCATGTGATCATCCATAAGAACAAGCCGTCATTCACAGCAAACTGCAGCGTTTGAGAACAGAGAGAAGAGAAGTTACTGAGCAGACATGATCTCTGAGGTCAGGCTGGTGTGGAGCCCCGAGGAACAGCTGAATCTTCATCCAGCATTATAGGAGGTAAATATTCCCTCATAGTGAGGAGCATGAAGCGCTCATTGAACCTGAACAGAACCTGAATTCTGCTGCATCTCTAAAACATCAGATCTGAACTTACCGATGCAGAAAATGCTTATGTTCATTCTTGAAGTTAAATGTTTCTATAATCACAAACATAGCTCCTCCTCTGAAGATGGTGAAAAGCATCATGCTGCAGCATCATGGCTCCCCTCAGAGTCGAATCCATCATTTTATCTTGATCATCTCATTCTTTGACTCTGCTGTGAAGCACGTCTGAAATAAACCAGACGCCTGAGAGGATTTCTCTCCTTATTGAATGAAACTCTGGACACCGTTGTCTGTTCTGTGGATTTTATGCCTCAGCGCTAAAGAGCCTGTTGAATTAATTAGCATTTTCCCCTCCTGTGGTTAAAAGCCTGGTTTCTCCATCAGATTCTTTTTAATTAGGTTTTTCCTACTCTTTTGTTTGTCTGAACCACTTGGAGCCAAACTGATGCTCCACTCTGTTTAGAGTAAAGCAAAATGGAGCCATGAAACATTTATGTCCTGCTGGTTTTCCAACATGTGCTCTGATAAGGTGACTGTTCCTCCTGAAGTGACCCCTCTGGCTGAGGAGAGCTGAGGAAACCATGAAGGAGGAGCAGAATGAGGAGTAGGAGCCGTTCAAAGGAGAGCTACACCCTGTAATTATCCCAATCACACCTTCTCCTCTGCTGTCTTCTGTTATTGTTTTATCCTCTTCACTTGTTGAACCCAGCTGCCACATGAGCAGCTCTGAAACACATCTTGAGCCCAAACATGCAGATGTTTCACTTTTACATAAATATCTAAAAGACGAAAAAAGTATGGAAATAAGATGACATTTCAAGAAAAGGAAGTTTAATATCATAAAAAGATCATCTAATTTCAAATTAATGTGAGCAAAAATATTTTCTCTAACCACAAATGATCTATCAACCAGGTTGTTGGTTCAGTTTCAGTAAGTAAGTTAATCCAGGCCCGGTTCACACAGACCTGTAGAATCAGAAAGAGACTTAAATAAAAACCTGTCTGACAATGTGAAGGAGGCCAAGAGGTCTAGGAAACAATTCCTCTAATCAGACCAGAAGAATTTCAATGAGCACTGATGTCTGATGTCAGACTTTCGGACACCACAGAACCAGAACCAGAATTACAAGGACAGGGAAGAAACTTCCCAGTTGAGGCCGACCTGCAATATTACTCCAGGAGAGCATCAAAGTCTCATCCAGGAGGTTCCAGAAGAACAGAACATCTAAATCCCTGCAGGTCCTAGTGAAACCTCAGGTCAGAGGTCAAGAATGGGACAGAATGGGGAGAGATCCAAGGTCGGAACCTCTGCTGACCCGAAAGAACACAAAGGTCTAAACCAAAACATCTAGATGGTCTTCAGGACTTGTAGGAAAATATTCATTCTGGAACATGTGAGCTCCGTTAGATCAGGCATGCCCAAAGTCAGTCTGCAGGTTTTAGAGGTTTCCCTGCTCCAGCACAGCTGATTTACAGTTATTGCTGATTAACAGGCTTTCGCTGAACTGCAATCATCAGTTGTGCTAAAGAAGGGAAACATGTAAAACCTGCAGGACAGCGCCCCTAAAGGACCTGCCTTAGATCATAAAGCTAACAGCATTTCAGAGGAGAATAGTCAAACATGGTGGTGGTGGTATGATGATCTGGGGCTGCTTGGCAGCTTCTGGTTGTGGTCGACTTGCCGCTATTTGGAAAACCAATAATCCAGATTTCTTGCAGGCTGTTCTGAAGTGTCTGGACATCAGTTTGTGACCTTAATGTCTCTGCAACAGAACAGTCAACCAAAACTTAGCTGCTAGTCTCTGACTGTCACAAAAAGAGCACTATACAGCGGCCTAGTCAAAGTCTGGACGTCTACTTCACTTAGTTTTTATGATTGACTCTAAATGGGCTATTTTTGTTTCAAATCCTTCCAATGTGTCAGTATAAACACAGCACATTAACATTCAGCATTCATGCTTCTATTCTCCTGTAGAATAATCTCCCTGACCCTCATGTTCCAGATTTTAATCAATACTCCCCTGTCTCTCTGTATGTGATGACTAAATTATGCAGTACTTTTTAATGTAGGTTTCCTCGATGTAGGTTTCCATGATAGCAGCATTATTCAAGTAACCAAGAGAGAAACTGCAAAGTCAACATGAATATGACAACTTATTGAGATTGTTGGGAACAGTGATGGTTATAGAGTCTTACAGCTGTTTCACCTCATGAAGAACCGTCCTAACCACGCTCCACTACTCATCAACAGCTCAGCTGTAGAAGTGGCCAGCAGCATAAAAATTCCTGGGGATGCACATCACAGACACCCTCACCTGAACTGTAAACACCCCCTCACTGGTCAAAAGGACACAAAAGCACTTGTACTTCCAGCGGAGGATGAGGAGAGCCCACCTGCCCCCACCCATCCTCACCACCTTCTACAGAAGCACCATAGAGAGCGTTCTGAGCAGCTGTCTCACTGTGTGGTGTGGGGGCTGCAGCACCTCAGACTGGAAGAGGAGTGGTGAGAACAGGGGAGAAGATCATCTGGGCTCCTCTTCCCTCCATAAATAACATTTCTTTCCAGTGCTGCGTGTCCTGAGCCCGTAACATCATCAGTGACCCCTCACACCCCCACCATGGACTGTTCTCCCTGCTGCCCTCTAGGCTTCAAAGCATCAGATGCAGGTCCAGCAGATTCTGCAACAGCTTCTTCTCCACTGCCATCAGACTGCTGAACTGTTGAGAAAACTCTAAATCACGTCACAGACTCTGCATCAAACTGATAACACCAAACCAAAAATACTGCACATTTGCATCATACATATTTAATGCCCTGAACTTCCATATCAATGCGTTTTTGCACCATGTTTTTTTCTCCCACACTGTTTACATTTGATCACTGTTGCACGTTAAGGAATGGAAATGTCATTAAAGCTGTACAAAATGAAATTTCATTTTATATACACTCAAATGACGATAAAAGTTGTCTAAGTCTAAATGTGATGATGGCTGCAGCTTTTCTTTAGAGGCATCAGATGTTAAATCGAGAAACAAAGAAGTGCTGATTAGACAGGGATCACAGCACAGCTTCACCTGCTCTCATGTGCTGACAGGACGTTAGTCAAGTTTGTCTAGTTTGAAACCCTTCAGTACTTTTTTTTTATTCTGGTCAGAATGTAGGATAATAAAACTCATTGCATGTAATTACCCTGATCTCTCTTCCCTTGCAGTGAAGGGTTTGTGCAACCGTTTAATTCTCCTCCAGGAAACATCAAACTTCAGAAACCTTAAGCCCAATGACATCATTGTCAAAGTCTCCATCTTTAAAATGCATCTGAATTCAAATCCAGAAAGCTTGGTTCAGTGGGAGCATGTGGCCTGCATTACTGAGCTGCATGTGTTTTCACTCTCAGCAGCGCAGCAGTCTGATGCATGTATTATTAATAAGCGTCATGGAGACCCCCGTCCAAGGATCAGGTTACTAAAGAGCACTTTTTGCAAATAATCAATAACTCAGAGTGAAGTTTTGGTTCAGATTACATGAATCTAACCTCTGGTGTGTTTTTCAGACAGGAAAAGAAGGAAGAAATGCAGCGATATGAATAGATTTTATTGAAAGGAAAACTGCTGCATCTAAAAAAGTGAAATAGAGAGGTCTGCTTTAGTCCTTTTGCCTTTTGTTAAATAAAAACAGAACAAAAGATTAAAGGTTAAACATATGGAAGATGTTCATGTATTTGAATTGAAACAGTTACTGATAAAAATGAGTTTCATTCTTAAATATGTAGAGAAGAAAAACTATCAAAAAACGTGAAAATGAGTTAAAACTTTGGCAGCATATGGAATTGTTGCAGATAAAATGATGGACTGGTTCATGGTCCTGACAGTAACAAAAACCTCCTTCCAGCAGGGATGTTTGGTTCCACAGAAAAAGGTCCTAGTGGAACACACCAGATCTGCTCAGGGCCCTGCCCCTGCCGATGACATCACAATATGGCAACGCCACTCAGAAAAACTGCACTGCATCTCTTTCATAAGAATCCAATCTTCTCTGAGGTCTCTATTTATCATTACCTATAGAGTTGTGCTTGAAAGTTTACATAACCTTCCATTAAAGGCAGAAAAAAACAGATGCCAGGAAAATAAAGGGAAATTGACAAAAGAAATAACAAATTAAAAAATGAAAATCATGATATATATATTTATACTGTTCAGAGTTAGTTATGACCTGTTTGAGGTCACAGTTAGGTCATAGAAATTCATGTGAATTGAACAGAATTCAATGAAAACCTCTTGCAAGAATTATTTTTAAAACTGGAAATGACTTTTTTTTTTACATGATGTTTAAGAAGTCTGTTTTTATGTGATAACAATTAAAGCTGTAATATCTACAAAGGAAGTGTGTTTGAGTTTTAAATAAATTACAAGCGAAATCAACCGCAACATTTCTGAATAACAGAAGTGTGAAGATGTGGCATGAGTGAAGTCTGAGGCAATCATTCCTACAGCTGCAGTCTTCCACACAGTCAAGGTAATAGAACGTATTTAAATGGTTAAAAGTTGTATTCATATGCAGAAGTAAGATTATTTTTGCACAAGCCAGACTTCAGCCTTCCCTTCTCCATCCTGCTTCTGTGGCATCATTGAGCCGGTCTGTCTTCCTAGGAGGGCCTACAGAAGCCTACAGGTTCAAGATCTTTTCATTATTGCTGCCCCTCTGACATCATTAGTCTGTTAGAAGTTGCAAGTTGTTCTTTGTTTTGCTAAACATAGAAGCAGATGAGATTAACAGATAAGGCTAATGATATGTGAATAACCGAACATTGTTTCTGCCTTTTACTGACTACTTAGCCTCTTAACATCCACTTCATTTTGGGAAATTCTCACCTATTTTGCATACCCAAATGGAAAAGCGAATAACTTAGGAACTATAAGCCCAAATTACATGTGTAATACATTATTTGAAAGCTAACACCTTTAGTTTCTGAATATATACATGAAAATGGAGTGAGTAAAGCACAGCCCAAGCTGCATCAGTTCAAACATGACTCAAAGTTGTTCTTTTTATTCTCGAAAATAATAGGTCTTTTTATTGAACAGCAGTAATAAAGACATGCTTGCTTACAGCATGCTTACATTGACCTGCTGCTATATCTGCGCTAATTGTGCTTTGGTGCTTGCTATGTCCATAAAATGAACTTGGGGTTGAATTGTAGAGAATCTAAGCTTTCCGATGTGTAATATGTCTTTATTGGTAAACATTTTACCAGTATAATTTTCATGCATCTGATTAAAGAAAACTATAAAACATCACAAAATGAACAATAGTTGCACTCAAAGTGTGTTCCATTGTACTGAGGTCCAACCAGAATGGAAAGCTTTGTTGTTCTTCTCTGAATGCAGCAGAACATGCTCTGTAGTCCAAACAAATGGTGCTGTTTAAATAAAGCAACCTGAGGTTTTTGCTGGTTTCTCTGGGAACAAGAGAGTCAATAAGGAAGAGTGTTCTGCATGTGCAGCCCAGACCACCAAACAGACACCTGCTTAAGATTCTGAATTCACAATTAGGAAATATTTAGCTCTGACTCAAATGCATAAATACAAACATAATCACCAAAAACCAGAGAACCAGTCAGAAATCTGAGCAATAAAACTGGCATCAAAACTCTAAAAATGACGAAATGGGTTAAATCTGCCCGGAAGGCAGGAGGTGAAGCAAGCAGAGAGGAACTGAGGTCAGAAA